AATCAATCCGTTACACTTTTTGGATATTGAAAAAGTCTGAATATCAATTCGATTATTTTTTTCGCAAAATTCTAGATTGATCGAAAGCATACCTAATCGTCATATTTTTTTTAGTAAAAAGCTAATATTCAAAAAAAACATGTTGTATTATTAAATTAATTCATCAATGCGTATTACCTATGTCAATTTATGAAAGAATGAATATTTAATAAAAAAATATATATTTTAAGTGTTAAAAAAATGATTATTTATTTTGTGTTCTTTATTAATGATAAAAGGATTATCTATCATTCGCATTTTCATGTTAGAAAATTACCTATAATACAAATAATTAAAAAAGTATTTTGTTCCTTTCTTTTCCTCCAGTGTGCCAAAAACATAACCTCAAAAAATTTGTTTTCTTATAACGTGCTCTAAATACCTACTCACGTAAAAAAAAATTTACCTATATTACTGTTACAAAAATTGATTAATCTGACAGTTCATAACAGTAACTAAGAAACCACAATTGAACGTAAAAACCCATGAACCAGACAAGAAGTCACTATTTTATTTATAAATACCTGTTATTTCAGACAAGCACATCAAATTATACCATTTAACCTCAATATATTTTTAACTTTAATCTTATAGCTGTAAAGTCGAAAATCGGTTGTAGATATCGGATAAACAGACACCAGTTGATGAGCAAAAGTTCCATAGGTAATGGTAGAAATTTCTAGATCAAATATCCCGTTTGATTTGGCAGGCGAGAATTCAAGTGTGGGAGAGCCAAGCTTCGCCGCGAATGGGTCGGCTCGACCGGAGTTATACTACGTCCTCACAGAAAACTGGCGTGAAACAATCACAGCGTTGTGTTTCGCCGTGTGAGTGAGGTTACCGGTATGGAAAATGTTATGTAATATTTTTTTAAAGCATTTTTAATTTCCGTATGTGTAGATATATGACTACCTGCATAGGTACATCAACGGTTTTTTGTTAATTCCGACTTGCAGCTTATAATTAAAACTTCTGCTCCTTTGCCTGAACGAGTCCATCCTAATAAAGAAACAAGTTTTAAGCCAATACTTACTTTAACTAATAAATATTCAAAAACAGCATTAATCTTTTAACTAGCCACGTGCCCAAAACCAGATTTTATCGATCAACGAAAAATAGACGAATTAAATACTTATCTGTCAATATGTCACAGATCTTTAATACAAAAATTTTAATTTATAAAAAACTACAAGGCTCTGGTGGCAAAAAAATAAACTATCATGTTCTTTTTTTGAATTTTTACAACTTATGGTTTTTTTTCTTTTTCGAAATTTTATTGAGCCAATAAATTTGAATTTTTAGATTCCGAACTTGTCATAAATGTTGACGTCAATTTATTAATTTTGAAGGTACAAAACTTTTTTTACTACATTTTTAGTCTACTGTTTAAAAGATATCTATATAAATAACAAATTCCAATTTTAAATTCGGAAAATTTTATATCTGTTCGTATATTCTTCCCGGTAAAACAGAAATGTCATAAAACGTCAATCGTACCGATCGAATTAAAGAAATACAACAATGAATGAATTAAAGAACAGACAATAGGTGCGCGAACACCGGCTTTCGCTTGGGGTTTGGTGAATTCAATCCATCACGTCTTGAGTTAGATCCCAGAAATAGGTACCAATAAAACGTGACAAAGAAAAATATGTACAAAAAATATACAAATCAACATTAGCGAATTCAATTCTTGCTAATCACATAATTAACTGTCTAAAATATATGATAACTAATTTGTTAAATCGTGTCGGAAGAGTTTAGCTAAGCTAATTATAATATATCATAATCATAAACATTAATAAAAAAAAACTAATCGAACAAAGAAAAAAAACGAATGACGTATCAAAAATTCAATTCAATCTTCTAGAATACTCGAAAGATTTAAGAAAAAAAATACTTCAACGAATCACGATCTGAATTCGTTGGTTGTTTTCGAATAATTTATTTATTTATTTATGTACGAATTTTTATTTCGTTTTCATATTTTTTTGCATTGTTCGATACCTAAGGCAGTCGTTAAGAGTCTGACACTCCCTCATTCAGTCATTTGGTGATTTTCCCCTCACAATAAAAAGTCACTGCAAGCGGTAGCTACGCCTGTGTGTACGTTGTTTGCAAAATATTATGTTGATGACACAAAAAAGGATTTAAGTTAATATCTTGACATTATCAATAAAAAAATCTGACATTTCCATATTATTTGAATACCGTAGCAACGAAACGTTTAATTTGTAATTAAGAGACATTTTGAGAGCAATAAATTTATTTCAACGAATTATTATTTTTTATTTAATAATGGACATGTATACGGCCGCTATCACGCCTGGTAGTAAGCGTTGATGCGACCTACCCCCTGGAGCACACCTACCCATAAGCAACTTATTCACTCGAGCCTTGAAGAAATCCAAGTTATATCCTTCGAGAAAAACAGAATCTAGCAAAGAATTCCACTCCTTAGAAGTTCTGTGTTCATTTATGTTTAAAGTTCATTAAAATAAATAATATTTTACCTAATATTATTATCGAGATTTTTGTTTTATACAAAACTTGTGGATCGATGATAATATTGGTATTTAAAAAAAAAACTATTTTTATTGCATATCGGACGCTTGTGTAGGTATGTTACATTTTTCCTTATTTTTAAAAGCTTAAAAACTTTTTGGTTTATCCATAGGTACCTTGTGTTGTGCTTAATTTGCATAAAATATTTTTCATTTTATGATCACTCTAATTTGTTGAATATAGTCTGCCATTACCAAAATCCCAAAAGCTGTTTTTTATGATTCGAATTTTAACTGATCATTTTTTTTTATATCAGTAACATCTTTATATTTATAAAACTCTCGTAAATGTTATTAGTTTTACTAAAATAAGTTAATAAAAGAATTTATTGATAACTACAAGTAACATTAATCTTTGCAAAATAATAAATTACTACAAGTTGGGATTCTCATCACATTATTTAAAATAACATAAATTATCAAAGTCTATGTCAACGCGTTTCGGTATTTCATTTAAGCAACTAAAAAACGCTCTTTTATAACAAAAAAAAACATTATTTTATTATTTATCTATAGTCCTTCGAGCCAGATTTGAATTAGCAACCTATGGATGTCTGTGTACAATCCACTTTTTTATTATTAATTATACTATGCTTTTACATACCATAAATAATTATTTCCAGTTATAGGTTTCTTATTAATTGATTTGGTTCCCGTATTAATCCTGTCTTTAAATAACGAATCCATTTAAAATTTTACGTTTTTCAAAAATACATTTTCTATCGATCAAAAGTTACTTTTCTATAAATAATCAGGTCAAGGGTAGAATCGTAAAGAAACTCTTGATTAAGAAACTAATCATACATTAAATCTGTATGTTATAATTCGACGAAAATTATTCCGAACATTACTTATACAAACATTGTGAAAGGTCAAATTAAAGCAACTAAAACTAAAAGAGTTGATAAACAGTCATCAATGCCTATTTTGTTGATATCAAATAAAACGTGGCACAAAAAAAAACAGTCATTCTAAGAAAAAGTTATTAGAATACATTTTTTTCCGAACAGTTGCTAACCACTTTTAAATTAAGAACAAAAGAAAAATTAATAAAAAAATTATTATTAAAAAAACAAAATACCCGACTGCACACTAAAAAAAGAGTAAAACAAGCCCCACAATACAAATTTACTGAATATAATTTATAAATGTTGATGGAAAGCATCGCAGGCGGGGACCAACAGAGGCTTATTTATAGTCATTTCTGTTGTGCACCATTTAGCAGAATTTTCGTTGGTGGCGGTCAAGGTGGTCCCCGCCTGCGATGCTTTCCATCAACATTTATAAATTATATTCAGTAAATTTGTATTGTGGGGCTTGTTTTACTCTTTTTTTAGTGTGCAGTCGGGTATTTTGTTTTTTTAATAATAATTTTTTTATTTATAACTTTTTAGCTGTTTTTATTTAACGAAAATGTTGTAGATGTAGAAGACTATGTATATGTAAGTACCATTTTAAATTATTTCAACGACATTTGGCTTTAGATTACGAGTGATGTTACTCCGCAACATAAATTTACCGCCAATCTGGACTGTTGGTAGTGAAGAAGAAAAAGAATTAGGTGAGTCATTACTGCTGAAGATCCCGCAAACGTTTAAGTTCAGTTAAAGAACATTCGTCGTGGGGCCGGTCCAACAGCTTTTTTGGGTCAAGTGTTTTTATTGCTAACCCAGCAAGTGTTTTAACACGGCTTAGGGCTACATAAGCCTGGCCCTTTGCAAACACGTTTGATAGGTCCACGACAGCCCGATCCAAGGTGGTACCTTGCAGTTTGTGTACCGTTACAGCCCAACAAAGTATCAAAGGCAGCATCCGACGTTCAATCTTCCCTTGTCCGCGAAGCGCATCAAAGTCGACAGTGGAGGGCTCTATGCGAACCCCCACACCCAATTCATTGCCCTTAACAGAACGATCGTCGCACTCTACGAATACTGCCTGCCGTGATTGAAATGAATCTAATGATACCGCATACATATTTTTTTAAAGGGAAATTTAGAAAACATATTATTATGTCTTTATCCCGTGGGACTTTTAGGATAAAATGTATCCTATGACACTCCCGTAATCAAGACAAATCTAACGATACCTCATACATCAAAATCCATCAAGCCGTTTAGGCTACAGGAGGTCACAAAGGAAAAGACATACATACATACTTACATACACTCGAAAAACATTACCCTCCTTCTTTGGCAGTCGGGTAAAAATAACGACACACGGATAGTTTTTTTTTACAATTACATGTTATTTACAGTAATTACATCATTCTTTTCGTAATTAAATACAGTTAATTATTTTCCTAAGTGCATATTATTAAATATACAGTGCGATTATGGTATAATAACCTAGTATGTAACATAAAACAACTATACCTAATAAAAGAAAAAAATAACTTACATTTTGGCTGCCTCCCGATCTGTCCCTGCTTTCTTCTCTCAAACAGCCGATTGATAATCGCATTTTTCTTGTCATTAAATTCTAAATCATCGTTGAATTTATTATTCAATATTTCACACTCGGCAAAATTAGCTTCGAAATTCTCAATCTCCGATCGCCTTTGTTTATTGAAATCATTTAATTCACTTGTGTTCACTGAAGAGTACCTACGACCGGTCACATTGCTCCAAATCTTCACCAAATCCTTCATTTTGAAAATCCAATAAAATCCACACAAATAATTTTACTTTGTTTATATAACAAACACAGTGACTCAATATCGTAAAACGAAACGTCAGCTACTCCTCAATGTCGATCACACGATCAATGAACGACTTAATAGAATGTTCTATTAGAAAAAAAAATGAAATAAATTAATTCATAAAATTCCAATTACAAAATCTATTTTTATAAATAAATAATTCGACACATAAATTCTATGAATAACACAACAGTCACATTCCCGATTGCACTTGTTATTTATTGTTATTCAGAATTGATTTTTTTGTGTTTACTTATTTGAATTTCGCGCGCTTTTCTAAATAAGGAAACGCATGCACGGTGCACTCTGTTCTGCAGTTTACTTGTATCTAAAGAGATGTTCGGGTTGTCGCAGGCTTATATAAATTTTCGCAACCGACCGCTGCGTAGACGCGTTGACGCTGACGTATGGAAACCAGTTTTTTTTAATGGTTTTAATCATTTATTTTATATACGCTTCTAGTGCAAATCGAATGATTGTGAGGGCAGAGGTTTAAAGGTACTTCTTAATGATGATGATGATTTTATTAGAGTGACTCATTATAGACCTCTCTATATGAGGGTTTTTCATAATACCCACTATTGGTTGGCGGGTTGGTGATGTTTATCAGACTGCTGTCCGGTCTGTCTTAAGTAGTCCCTTATTAGTCGGCTTTTACACGTGGGAAGAATATGTCAGTTGTGGATCAGGATTTCATTCTGAATAGCCATTATTTAATGACTACATAGTATAAAACAAAGTCGCTTTCTCTGTCCCTACAAACCTATGTATGTTTTAAATATTTAAAACTATGCAACGGATTTTGATGCGGTTTTTTTCGTAAAAAGAGTGATTGAAGCGAGAGTTTTACATCCATTAAATAGGGTAGAAAATTAGTATCGGCATTGCAGCTACGCGAAGCCGGGCTGGGTCACTAATCATAGTATAAGTTTAAGGAATTATCTGTTTTACAATATTATAATAATATTGTTTAGGTACTTGATTTTTGATGACTTAATTTTTATTGTTTTTCTGTATGTAGGTATATTCTAAATTGTGTTTCAGAAAGTTAAATAAGTTTTCATTCATCTTGGACGCAAAGCCAGTGTATGATAATGTACTTGAGCGAAAAAAAATACTATTATTTAAGAATGCTTGAAGTTTTGCGAGACAGGTGAGTTACCGGCCGGTTTTGTACTTTATTAGCGATTTAAGGGTAGGGGATTTGAGGGTTGAGGTTGAGAATGGGGGTTTGGATCTCCAATAACCTCGGTATCAATATCAGTATAAAATAAGATATTGATTGAATAATGTAGGTGTCTGTAGTTAGGTTATGTTAATTAATACCTTAGTGCTTTTATGGTATTGTGTTTACCTACATATTCTGTAGTCATAACAAAGTAATAAATCGATTTATTGATTTCGATGCGGCGGTAAACGAACAGACGGATTACCTGATGGTAAGCAAGCGTTGTCAGTACTCAAAAGACGATTTTCTTTAAAAAAAACCGTGCTTCAGAACTAGGATTTTCTTCTGTGTCGTGGGTGCGTTTACAAACATACAATTTCACATACCTACACATCACACCCAGACCCGGAACAACAATCTGTGGATCACACAAACAGTTGTTCGGTGCAGAAATGGAACACGCGACACGTTGCGCGGCAGCCAGTTGCCCAGCCACCGCACCAACCGTGTAGTCATTTGCTTTTGAGAGAGCTCACTCACACGGCGAAACACAACGCTGTGGTTGTTTTACGCCGGTTTCCTGTGAGGCCGTGGTATCACTCCTGACGCAGCCAGTCCGCGAGGTAAATTATAGCAATTGCCACCCGCAATCCCTTCCAGTGACGGTGGCCTGGAGATTAAGGCGCCTGCTTCTCATGCATGAGGGTTCAAAACCTGGCAAGTGCCAATGTGACTTTTTCCGAAGTTTATAGGCTTTATAAGATTATTTAGCTACCACTGACATACGGTGAAGGTAAACATCGTGAGGAAACCTGGACTTATAATTTCTAATTATAAGTTTGTAATCGCCAATCCGCCTTGTGCAAGCGGAGTGATTAATGCTCAAACCTGGTCTTTGTGAGAAGAGGCCTTAGCTCAGTAATGGGCACTTATAGGCTGATGATGGTACCCCGAAAGGGGGTAACAGGTTAGGTGATGGGGTGAACGTGACTCCAACCTAATTAATTAATTAACTTCATGATGAATAAGTTCCAAATATTAATGACTCGTAACTTCAATGAGACTAATGATTTATTTAAAACACAAATATTTAATTTCATTAATTTGTTTATTTAAAAAATGTGTTGTTTGTAAGCGCATAACTCAATAACGCCTGAACCAATTTTAATAATTCTTTTTTTGTGGTGTTTGTTATTATTGTGGTGACTGTTTCCGAGTTGTATGTACTTTCTATGATTATTTAGCTACCACTGACATACGGTGAAGGTAAACATCGTGAGGAAACCTGGACTTATAATTTATAATTATAAGTTTGAAATTGCCAACCCGCATTGAGCAAGCGAGGTGATTAATGCTCTAACCTTCTTCGTATGAGAAGAGGCCTTTGCTCAGCAGTGGGCACTTATAGGCTGATGATGATGATGATTTTATTATTGCGAGAATATTTTGATAGATGATAGATGTTCTTATTTAGTTTGGATAGTAGGGAAATAGCCACGCTGTTGTCGTTACGAGGCATTATTTAATGTATGTTAATTACTAATTGTTGATTAAATATTTATATAATTATCTGTATGGGTACCTATGTCACGTGCTATTTATTTATTTAGTAAGTAATTCAAAATATTCTTAAGATTGTTAAAAAAATAGTAAATGTAGTATTTGTTTTTAATAAGAAAAGGTTTTTATTAATTTTCATATTTTGCAGAAGTATAATTGTTTCATATGTAAATTTGGCTGCTCCAGTAAGTGATTTTAATTTATTATACTTGTGATGGATTACACTCGATAATTTCTTTAATACAATTCCATACAAAAAACAATTTATAATTTGATTAAAACAAAAATGTTTTTAATTTGTCTTATTATATTTCAGTAGTACTTATATCAATGTAGTTGGGGGCACTTTTCAATCAAAATTAACACTTAAATTTAATTAAGTACCTACGCTAGTATCACCAAGTCGGGAGAGAGAGCAAACATCAGACCTCTCACTTACACATGACATTTTTGACAAGTAACATTCCAATACCTGCAAATTACATTGTAAAAGCAGTGTGTGTATTATTTTAAACTAAAAAAATCCTACATAAATGATATTTATTTCTTTTATTTTGTTAAAAGTGAAAAATATCAGAATGTGAAAGGTTTTTAATTAATTTAATGATACACACTAATGTTCATATACCTAACTGCTACTTAACTGTAATCCCCAATCAAATTGCCAACCGTGGCGATTAAAGAGATGCGTGAATGAGTTACTAAACATAAATAAAACCTTTGGTAAATAAATGACATACATTTATTTGATTTCAATTTCCGTTTCCATGGCAACGGAAAGGCTCATGCCAAATAGATTGCCAATTATCAGAAGTATGGGAAATATTATGTTTGGTTGGTTTTTACCATAGATACGTAATATAGTCACGACTATGTACTATACTTGGAATTTTAATTCCATTCCAGATTTGACAATTTCAGTGTTGCAACGTTATGACAAGTAATAAATAGTGACGTTCCGAAATTATTCGATGTGGAAATTGAATATTTCTGAATCGATTCCTCTTGTTTATAAATTTACTCTCGTAAACTAAGTTTATCAGGAAATAAAATATTTGTGAACCGATAATTTAGTTTTGACAATTAATTAACTGTCTGAGACTTTTCTTCTGTAATTGTGTGTGAAATTAATAAAAATTTTTATAAAAATGTATAGTAAGCAGAGAACGGAGTGAAAAATGACTCGATTCAGACATCACTACATAGTATAAAACAAAGTCGCTTTCTCTGCCCCTATGTCCCTATGTGTGCTTACATCTTTAAAACTACGCAACTGATTTCGATGCGGTTTTTTTAACAGATAGAGTGATGAAAGAGGAACGTTTATGTGTATGACTAGCTAACTTCGCGCGGTTTCACTCGTTGCTCAGCTCCATTTGATCGCAGCGTGATTTTTAATAGCCTATATAGCATTTAGGAACATTGAAGCTAGTCAACCCAGCAGTGGTTCCAAAGATTACCTACATACAAACTTACAAATTTTACCTCTTTATAATATTAGTATAGATAACATCTATTAAATAGTGAAGAAATTTGTTTTGTATCTAGTGGTAAGCGTTGATGCGATCTATGATGGAGCACGACTACCCATAAGTAACCTATTCACTCGGGCCTTGAAGACACCAAGGTTTTCGACAAGAATTCCACTCCTTAGCGGTTCTGATTAAAAACTGGAGATGAACCACTTTGTGTGTGCATTTGTTCTATTTTGGCTAACCTGGTGATGGAACCTAAAATCCAAATTCAAACTTCCAAACTAATATTATAAATGCGAAAGTAACTCTGTCTGTCTGTCTTTTCTTCACGCCTAAACAACTGAACCTATTTGTGTGAAATTTGGTACCGATATAGTTTGGAACTCGAGAAAGGACATAGGATAGTTTTTAAACCAAAAATCGGCAGGAAGTCACTATTCCACGCGAACAAAAGCTAGTATTCATAATAAGTAACTTGTCTCACATTCTAAATATATTTTTTTTTTTCATTTTGCCTTAAATTTTGGCAAAACTGCAGATGGAAATTGATATAACTTGTTCCCCATTCTCATTTGAGACAACTCAAACAACTGACGAACCAATCTAAAAATAATATCCAAAACAAATACAACAAAACAAAACAACATGAAATTGGTTTATAAATAACATATTTTACGTGTTAACGAGCGCAAAAAATTCCAAGACATGGTTTTCCCCCTTTGTTTAGCCTTATAAAAAAAACTATTTTTTATCATTTCAATCATTTAGATAGATGGTTGGCAGTCAAGAATCGTGTGATTTTCTCGCAAATTTGTGGCTTACACAGCATCATCATCCTATGTATAAGCGCCCACTGGTGAGCAAAGGCCTCTTCCTACACGGAGAAGGTTTGAGCATTAATCACTACGCTTGCTCAAGACGGGTTGGCGATTCTAAACTTGCAATTAGAAATTGTAAGTTCAGGTTTCCTCTCGATGTTTGTTTAAACTATAATAATATGTCTATGTGTGTAACTCATTTTAGCCTCACAAAACAAAACTGTGGGATGATCTTTCGGATAAAATGGAGCCGAGCAGCGGGTGAAACCACATGAGAGTAGCTAGTTACTGATATTTGTCAGAGGACATCCTTTTTTAA